CATTCACACATTCCTCTCCATAAACTGAGTGAATGTTTCTAGCCGCTTCGGCTGCTGAGTTTCCTTTCTTGAACTCATAAAGCATTATGTGCCTGAAATGATTCTTGGGTACTTCCATGTTAGCAGGGTTTTAATCAAACAAAATTTAATTTTATTGTTCTCTGAGAAAAAATTTGATCAGTTTAAATGCATCTAAACATAAAAATAATGTCCAGCTCCATTAGATATTATAAAATACTCTATACATATATATATACATATATATACGAATTATGTGTATTTATGTTAGTTTTAATCCTTTCAAATCCACAAATTAATTTCTTGCTAACTATAGAAAATTGATTAAGAAAAATTTCAAAATTTTCTTTCAAATATTTTTTTCCCCCCAAGTAGTTTCAATTTCATTTGAGACCATCTTCAGGGGTTCAAAATATTTTTCTCTATTGATCTATTCCACATATCTTGTTGATTGCTCGAATACTGTGTCCTTGTGCCAGCCAAATGTTACGAAAGTTATTGAGAGAAAATGAAGAAAAAGAAAGAGAGGTAGAAATTGGAGCGGATACTGTAAATATGGTTGATCTTAAGAGGGAATGCCTCAGTGGTCACACGATGTGTTGCCTAATGCCGGAAGTCAAGCACGTCGATGCCAATTTTCATATTAAATGCGGGAAAATAGTTCGTTGTATTTTCTTACTGTAAACCTTAAAAAAGACGAGAAAACATCTGCAGATCGGGGGCGATGGTTGCCTTACTATGGCAGTAACCACGGGGATTTAACAAATGTTTCAGCTGGAGAAAATAAGAAGACCAATACTCAATTTATGGTTACAAAAGTTGAACTACTCACTTGAAATGGCTAAAAAAGAAAATCTACTAAATACAGCAAAAGATAAAGAAAGTCAAATCTTGATTTTCAGAACTTTGGCGGAGAGCGCCAACTGATACCTATTCTGGTTCTAGGCTGAAATATCGATCCGTCCGTAAGCATTGTCATTATTTTTTATGGGTACTATGCGGATAGTAATGATGATGAAGGTCGTGTTAAATTCGTAAAATATATCATCATTATCAACATCAATAAGTTTGCTGGGATCCCAACATATACGTTGATGAAATTGACCCTATCATTAAAGAGAATTTTGGGAATATTCAATCAGTGATTGGATAAAAAAAAATTTGGAACGAAAACAGCAATAAAATACAGCGTCTATCTAAACACACACACATATGTATATATATATATATATATATATATATATATATATATATATATATATATATATATATATATAGATAGATAGATAGACAGACAGATAGATAGATAGATAGATAGAAAATTATATTAAAATGCAAAATCTTGCTATTTTGATGATAAAGAAGAAGAAAACCAAGAAAGCTAATTTCCGGCCTTACCGGAAATAAGATCTTTTTTTTTTTTCCCGGTCAGCAGATGAACTCTTCTGAAATGGAGGATGAAATGTCTATGAAAAAATAAAGAAGAACGGAGCTAAAATAAAATGGGATATTTTGAGAAATTGAGATATTAAATACAATATTAAACCTGACGTTTGGTCATTTGGTCAGATTTTGGGAATTCGCTCGAACCGAAATACCATTCTGCAATACTCTCCTTAAATACGCACACAGATTTCTGCTGCATTCTTATATATATATATATATATATATATATATATATATATTTAAAAGATGTTTTTTGTAGGTACAAAATTTAATGATCGAAATAAAAGTATAAAATTTAATATTACGAGACATATTTAAAAAAAAAAAAAAAAAAAAAACGGCAGAAACAACCGGTTTCCTTCCGCTCTTCAGGCTTCAACGGGAGAATTAAAATTAACACAGAAAAATGTACAATAAAAGGAATTGTAAATATATATATATATATATATATATATATATATATATATATATATATATATATATATATATATATACAAAAGGAACTAGAAACAAATAACAGCAGTCCCAACAAACACTCACGTTGTTTGCACAAAGAAGGCTTAGGGGACCCGTTGTAAAGAGCCTCAGAACCTTTAAATGAAATAAGAGTGAGACCAGGACAACACGGTGAACCAGTCAACACTAAATTTGGCTACCATATGCGAACACCTATTAAAGAACAGTTACTGTGCTGCCATATTTAGTTGTTTTTTTTAACATGTCTCTAATAATATTTTAAATTTTATTACTTTTATTTATATATATATATATATATATATATATATATATATATATATATATATATTACGATATTAAAAGAAATATGTAATGATTGCAGTCGTGTTTCAACATATAACGATGCGTCTCCTTCAGGTGAATGTAGATTACTAGCAAGTGAACGATTAATCTGGTTTCAAAAGCCAAAATGTATCCTCATTTTATGAAAAAAAATTGCTTGAGGGCTCTACTATGTATCGAGCCCACTTTTAAATTAAATGTTACGAACGTTGGAACATTGTATTCTATTCGTTCTCATTTTACACACACACACGCACACACACACACACACACACACACACATATATATATATATATATATATATATATATATATATATATATATGTATGTATATATATTAGCAGTATGTTTTCACAAAGACATGTCTCATTGAGTTATTTAGAAAAGTTTAAAAGTTTTGTCTACTTGTTTTTAACAGGATCCTGTCATTTTTACGGACAAGTCATTAGGGTCTTGTTTTTTTCTTAAAACAAATTTGTGTTCATCATTTTTCTAAGATAAAATTGTTGCGTTCATCTAAAAATTAAATTGTTTATTTGTGAAAAACCTTAATCTTATGTACTGTACGATTTTTATATTTTATGAGGTAAGCATACACGTATTGTAACGTCAAGGGAGGTAACTTAGTTATTGAGATGTCTATTTTTTTAAAACTATTTTAATCTATATTTTAAAACTATCTACTGTAGACATTTTAAAAAATTTGTTCAGTTTTTATAATTAATTTTATTAAGGGTTGGTTTTTAATTTTTTAGTATAGATAGCTTCAAGAATTTTTAGTTTATGTTTATTATTTTCATTAAAAAGTATAGAAGTATTTTCGATTAATTATATACTATACTAAATTCAATATATACAAGAATATAGTATACTAAATTCACTATATCCAATTTAATCATTTGTAATGACTCCTCCCCACCAATTAACGTGTTGCAGAAAACCAACATTATATATGAACTTAAAAGATCCGTGAGAGATTGTATCTCCAACAGAAAAAATAATATATATAGTTTATATTGCTCACACCACAACTACGTTGTCTAGAAGGTTGAGTTTTCATTTGAATGATGTATGTAGTATCTCTCAACATTTACAACATGTCTGTCCACATTCGCAATTTTAAAAAATTCTTGTTGAAAATATGTTTTAATATATTTCATATCTTATCCTGTCTTAATATATATTTATAACTTTCTCTCTCCCCATATAGTGTTATTGATACATTGATAGATATTGTGTACAGCAGTCGAACATTCTGAAGTTGTTTGCTGGATTCATAGCTATGCTCCAAGAAGTGCTAGTCGCTCTAAAATCATCTATATTGACCAGCTATGTTATAACATAGAATGTCACTCCTATGACCATCAGACTTTGATGGGTGGCGTGATAGACTGTTGAATCTCCAAGCAAGCTCGACCAAATGAAAAAAAGATTAAACAAAGATAGTTGTTGATCTACGGATAATCCAGTCGGCATTGAGGTTCCTTTGTGTCTAATTTGGATCAACGATTATCTCTATTTCAGTAAAGGATTTTCACAATCGACTCCAGCGTTTTTGCAATGTCAATATTCCAAAATTTGTCCCCTCAGCTCGCAGCAAATAGTCTACCTTCCTTAAGTCGTACATAGTTTCATGGTGTATTAAATATCATATAAAGATAAATATGTATACATGCACAAAATATAAATATATCAAATATATTTTTTTTAATATAATTATATATAATAATTTATACTATTTTACATGAAATTTTCAAGAGCCATAATCGTCTACCTCCTGAAATTATACGGTAGATAAAACGAAGAATGATTTATACAACGTATAATTTTATTAATAAGTTAGGGCGATCAGGCTGCATAGCCGATACATTCATGTTGCCTTTTATATTATAAAACAAACTTAGTTTATATTGTTTGTTAATTTTTACTTCCAGTTCTTGATGCTATAAAAAAAATTTTTCAGAATTTTATTTTTTAAAGCATTACTGAACCTTGAAGCATTTTGAACTATTGTGCAATACTCTATCTCTCTGTACTCTATATTTATTTCAATAAATCATATGATAAAGAAACACGTGCTACTGATCAGCCGGACTTGGATCGATCAGACATTTTAAACAATTGGCATTGATTCAGGTAATATTGATGAATCAATGAAGTTTGACGAGAATGAAGAATAAAGCGTCTTTTGCAATCACACCACCTGCACCTCCGCCTGCGTTCATGTTGAGATGGTGGTGCGAAAGTTGTTCCATGTGAGTAACAAATTGTCTACATAGAGATATTTATTCATTTCATTTTTGTCAGTCAACTGTCCAAATAAGATTGGTTGGGAATAGTAAGAATATGTTGCGCCAGTTTTCCGATCGGGAAAGAAATTTCTTCATACGTTTAAGATGAGCAGATGAAATGTTAGTTTTTAACTAGACTCGAACTTTTACTGTTTACATCATTGGTAAATATGGTAGTAATTCATCTCTCTTTCTTTCTCTCTTTCTCTCTCACTCTCTCATTCACTCTCTCACTCTCTCTCTCTCTTTCACTCTTTCTCTTACACACACTCTCTCTCTCTATTTCTCACTTTCTCACTCTTTCTCTCACTCTCTCTCTTTCTCACTCTCTCGCTCACTCTCTCTTTCACTCTCTCTCTTTCTCTCACTCAATCTCTCTTTCTCACTCTCTCTCGCTCACTCTCTCCTTCATTCTCTCTCTCTCACTCTCTCTCTCTCTCTCGTCTTACGACCACATCATACTGAAACACCGGTTCCCATACGATTACTGAAGTTAAGCAATATCAAGCTTGGTCAGTACCTAGATGGGTGCCCGCTTGAGAGTACCAGGTGCAGTAAGGTTAGATGTGCGGGTGGTGTAATGGGTAATGGTTCTGAATTGTTAATCGGAGAGCCGGGTTCTAATTCTACTTGGGTTCTTTATATTCACTTACGCGCAAATACCTTTGGAAAAGGTGTGAATCCACCTCTTAATGGGTTAATTAGTAAAACTTGTATCTCTAAATCATTATCTTGAAGAAAATCTTAGTATCCCAAACTATTATTTGACTTTAAATAACCTGTAACGAGTCGATAAGCTGTAGAAAACGACTCAATCAATCAACCTCTCTCTCTCTCTCTCTATCTCTCTCTCTCTATCTCTCTTTCCCGCACACACATACACACACTGTATTTTTATGTGCATGTGTGTTTGTTTGTGTAGAATACCTTATACTTCGAGATTAGATAAAATATACATATGCGTTTTTTTTTTTAGATAGAAGTAATGTTACGACTGATAGTCATGTCTTCACGAGAAAAGAACAGCTTATTATTCGTCTTTGAGAAGAGAGAACTGTCGTAAACAATGGATCATTCTTTTTATATTTTGAAGAACCACTGAAGAAAATGATATCGGAAAAATTATCTTGGAGGCGATAGTAATCTCATGTCTTTAATGTCGACTTCATTGCAATGTAAAACCTCATCAATTTTGAATCTTTGTACCCTCTTACTTCTTTAAATAATAACCAGCATTCATATTTATGATTGCTATTTTGATAGTTTTAAGTGGTTAATCCCAATATTTAACAATCTAATAGGGGGATTTACATAGATAGACAGATAGATAGATACGAACAGACTGTAATAGATAGATAGATAGATAGATAGATAGATAGATAGATAGATAGATACGAACAGACTGTAATAGATAAATAGATATGAATACTTAGACAGATAGATAAATAGATATGAGCATTTTGAAATAGATAGATAGAAAGAAAAATAGATAGATAGAGGTGAACATTTTGAGATAGATATGAGTATTTTGAGATAGATAGATAGATAGATAGATAGATACGAACAGACTGTAATAGATAGATAGATAGATAGATAGATAGATAGATATGAGCATTTTCAGACAGATATGAGTATTTTGAGATAGATAGATAGATAGATAGATAGATAGATAGATATGAACATTTTCAAATAGATAGATAGATAGATAGATAGATAGATAGATAGATATTTTTATCATTTCACCCCAAGTAACAGTGGAATGCCACTAGTACGCATGTGGTTACAGAGAGTGAAAGTGAGAGAAAACTCTGGGTATAGAGGGGATTGAGGAAATGATAAAAGATGAACGGTATTCAAGAAAATAGAAGATGGCGATTGACGTTGCATTTAAATTTTTTAAGATTGTAGTTTTCAAGGAAGCAAGGAAACGGAAGGAATGTCCACATGCGGTAAGTGCGAGAAAAGGAACTGTTGAAGTAGAAGTGGCGATTGCATTTAGCTATTTTAACAGTAAAAGGGTGTGATCTAGATGTCTATCTAGTGGCACGCTTTAATCCATATATTTGGAGCACCAGGGGAGAAAAATCTCGTCAGAACAGTGACTATGAACATATTTTAGAATAAAACAGAGGAAAGCCACGTCACGTCAGAGAAAAAGTAACTGAAGTCGTGATGTCAAATCTGGATCGATTCCATTGCAGATCCTTCTTTGGAGTTTGTCAAGAACCTCAAGATGAATAGCAGGAGCACCAGACCAGATATGGTAGCAGTATTCAATGCACAGACGAATGGTAGTTTTGTAAATGTGCAAGATGAACACGGAAATTTTTCTGGCACAACACACTGACCCAACTTTCGTTACAATAGATGCAAGTATTGATTCGATGTATTCGTTCCACTTCAAGTCAGCTGAAAACGTGAAGCCAAGGCGTCTAACATCTGATATGCCGATACCGGCTAAGAAGGTTTCACTATGGTGGTTAAATGAGAGCAGTTTAGTTTTGGAGGCATTAAAATTTACAAGCCATTTCCTGCCCCAGTTAACACTGATTGGAGGTCCTTTTCAAGAGCAACGGCCAGGTTAACTTTGTCAGCTCTGAATGATTTACTAGTGAAACAGGAGTAAATGGAAGTATCATCTGCATAAATGTCTACTTGGGAACTGATGACATCAGAAAGATCATTGATGAAGATCAGAAACAGCGTAGGACCCAGGATAGATCCTTGGGACACACCCGCGTTAGCGTGTAAGGATCTGGAAGCGAGTCTGTTCAAAACGACCTTCATTTCACGATTTGATAGGAATGATTGGATTAAATCAAACAATCGTCCTGTAATATCGTATCCCTTATGTTTACATAGAAGACAGGCGTACCAATCCCTGTCAAACGGCTTCGAGATATCTAGAGCCAGAACTCGAGCTTCGCCGTTATTATCAAGAGTTTCATATACATAGTCAGTGATGGCCATTAGCATATCAGCGGTAGATCTGGCAAAACGGAAGTCACATTGTTTGGCGTGAGTGGTAAGATGCTTCACCATCTTAGCATTAATTAAAGCCTCAAATACTTTGTCGAAAAGCGGTACGAGACAATAGAGCGATAGTTCGAGGTTTCAGAATATTCTTTAGAGTTCTTAAAAACAGGGGAGGAAACAGTGAGGCAATATTTGTAGAGTTTGGAAAGAACTGGAGACAGCTCGGGAAAACATTTATTTAGGACGATGGCTGGGATCCCGTCACCACTGCTTCCCTTACGGGAGTTTAATTTAGAAACGATTTCTGAGACCATTGACGGGGTTATGAGCATATCACTCAGTATAGGCGCTGTTTTAATGGGAAAATCAGGTGTGGTACGCCAAATGAGACAAAAGCTGAGCTGGAAGAGAATTTTCGAGCAAAGCATTCAACCTTATCAGCTGTAGATGCCAGGACATTGAATTGATTAAAAAGAGGAGGGATGGAGGATTTGCTGTTGTTCAGCACACTCTTGCAGAACCGCCAATAATCTCTAGAACCAAACTTGCGAGATGTTATACGTTATTTCATTCCATCAGCAGACAAAATTTCGCTTCTTTGAAGACACGCCTGCACTCGTTACGAGCAGAGACAAAAACCTGTCTGTTACAATCAGACATGTCGCTCTGGTACCGTTGGAAGAAATGATTCCTGTGGGTTATAGCGGCTGAGCATGCAGGTGAGAACCAAAGAGGTGAACATGATTTAACTTCCTTGCTGGAATGAAAGCGTCCATACCGGTTATTGCCCAGGAGGTGACCTCATACGCGCATTTATGAACAGAATGATTAAGAACTTAATTCCAAAGGACGTCACAAAAGAAATCACAGAATGAGTCCCAATCTTCTCGTTGATAACAGAAGGGTAGGAGTTTCTTGGCTGATAGGGAAATGGAAAGCGATGTTTACAGACCCTACCGCGTGTAATCAGACGCGTCGCCTTCATACAGCCGGAAGAAGTCATTCCTGTGGGCTATAGCGGCCAATCATGCAGGCGAGAACCAAAGAGGTGAACATGATTTAACTTGGTACTTCCTTGCTGGAATGAAAGCATCAATGCCGGCTTTTGCCTAGATGACCTCATACACGCATTTTTGTACAGGATAATTAAAATCTTCATTCCAAGGAACGTCACGAAGGAAATCATGGAATTCGTCCCAATCCGCTCATTGGTAACAGAAAGATATTCTGTTGGTAGGAGTTTCTTGGCTGTTGGGGGGGGGGGGCGGAAAGCAATGTTTACAGACACAACCGCAGGATCAGAGTTGCCAAGAGGGAAGAGCTGCATAGTATGACATGAGTCAGGAATAGAGGTAAAAAAAGAGATCGAGAAGAGAAGCGTGTCCATCAGGGTTACTGGAGAAAAGCGTGAGAGATTGAGTGATTGAGAAGTTTAGGGTTTGGATGCCAGTGAGATCAGTGACAGAGTGTTTAAATCACCTGGTATGGTTGGCATTAAAGTCACCGAACGCATATTTGCAAATGGGTGTAGGGAGATGGCCTTGTTTATATTATCAGAAATACTATCTAGCACGCAAGTGTCATAAGAGGACGGGGAACGGTAGCGAAAGAAGAGATAGTTGACTGAGTTTAGTAGAGAGAGAGAGAAGGAGAAAGATGTCAGAATGGTCTGGAGATTCAAGAGAGGATTCTCTGGCCAGCAGGAGATGTTAGAAGACATAAACTCCTAGGCCAATGCATGTAGACATTAGAGTCCTTCCTAAAGATGGGAAGAAAGCCAGGAATCGAGAAATCGAAGGAGGGGATTGAAGAGTTAAGATTAGTTTCGCAGAGAGCACGGATGTCCGCGGACTTTACAATCAGGAAAGATTCCACACTGCAGAAGATGGCACTAATACCACGAATGTCGGAGAAAAAATGGTTGAGGGGTCTAGGTGTCTTTTGCTGAGCTGATTTAGTTTTATATCTTAGGCTGGTTATAGTCAAGGTGTGTTATTTTGGGAAAGAAAAGGCCTAAGGTAGTAGTAGCAGTCGGACGATTAATGTAACAGGTGTGGGAAGGGAACTGGCGCAGACTGCAACATAGTAGAGAAACAGACTAATAGATAATAGATAGATAGATAGATAGATAGATAGATAGATAGATAGATAGATAGATATGAAAAAAAACTGAGATAGATAGATAGATAGATAGATAGATAGATAGATAGATAGATAGATAGATAGATAGATTCATTGAATTAAAAGACTCGGATAGATAGATAGATAGATAGATAGATAGATAGATAGATAGATAGATAGATTCATTGAATTAAAAGACTCGGATAGATAGATAGATAGATAGATAGATAGATAGATAGATAGATAGATAGATAGATTCATTGAATTAAAAGACTCGGATAGATAGATAGATAGATAGATAGATAGATAGACAGATAGATAGATAGATATGAAAAAAACTGAGATAGATAGATAGATAGATAGATAGATAGATAGATAGATAGATAGATAGATCCTTAAATCGTTTATGCTCACCCTGACTGCCGTAACTGAAAGAAATTAACCTTATATTATAATAATAATTAATTTAATACAAGGTCCTTATTTGTTGAGTCCTCAGTGAGGATTGCATCCATTCCTAATCTCTTGCGCCCTCAGAAGAAATTGAAATTCCCAACATAAAACTTTTGGTTTTCCAGTTAAAAGATTTCCTAAATTTGAAATAGGAAAACTATTGATAAACGAGCGTAAAAAAATTGGCGGGCTAAAAAAAAGGCTGCAAAAATAAATGTACTTGCATGTGTAGTTTAGGGGTTAGGTCACAGTTTTGCGATTTTTGAGGTCAAAAACTAAAATCTCAGGGGAAATGCTGATGTTGCTTGTAATGGCGTTCTGTCAGAAGACAGAGAAAGTATTCTTGATACAAAGAAGATTGAGGATGTCTTGGTCACAAATGATCAGTGTGTGACTTGAAAAGGAGAAATGTAAGGAAATGCTAGGTTGAATAGCCGCGTTGATAATATGAAGAAGAAGAATAAGGTGAAAGAATGAATGAAAGAAAGAAAGAAAGAAAGAAAGAAAGAAAGAAAGAAAGAAAGAAAGAAAGAAAGAAAACTGTGTGGCTAAACAGGAGGGCTGGAGAGAGGCATAGAAATGAAAAGGGGGTGTGCAATAGAAGACGTAAGAAAGAAAGAAAGAAAGAATGAATGAAAGAAAGAAAGAAAGAAAGCTAAACAGGAAAGAAAGAAAGAAAAGAAAACTGTGTGGCTAAACAGGAGGGCTGGAGAAAGGCAAAGAAATGAAAAAAGAAAATAGAAGACGTGGCTAAACAGGAGGGCTGGGAAAGAAAAAGAAAGAAAGAAAGAAAGAAAGAAAGAAAGAAAGAAAGAAAGAAAGAAAGAAAGAAAGAAAGAAAGAAAACTGTGTGGCTAAACAGGAGGGCTGGAGAGAGGCATAGAAATGAAAAGGGGGAGTGCAATAGAAGACGTAAGAAAGAAAGAAAGAAAGAAAGAAAGAAAGAAAGAAAGAAAGAAAGAAAGAAAGGTGTAAGGCTAAAAAAGAGAGGAGGAAAAAGAGGTATATAAATAAGAAGACCAGGAAAGAAAGAAAGAAAGAAATACGAAAGGTGTAAGGCTAAAAAGAGAGGAGGAAAAAAGAGGTATATAAATAAGAAGACGAGAGATGTTGGGCTAAAAAGGGTAAGAAGAAAAGAGCGTCTGTGTATGTCTGTGTGTGTGTGTTGTATGTGTGCATGTGTGTGTTTGTGGGTCCCCACTTTCGTCTACCCCCACCAAAATCCCCTCCTTTTTTTTCCTATTTTTGATGTTTTCTTCCTCTTCTTCTCTTTATAGGATTAACATTTTATCCTCCCTGGGGGTCATTTTCCCTATTCCCCTTTCTGCTTTACCTTTCTCTCTCACACTTTCTCATCCCACTCTCGAACTGTCTCTTTTTTTCCTTTCTCTTGTACTCTCTTTTTATCTTTCTTTTTCTCTCTCACACTCTTTCCTTTTCCCTCTGATTCTATCACGCAGCTTCTGTCTCTTTCTTGAATACTCCCTTTCTTTCGCTCTGGCACTCTCCCTCTAGTACTCTCTTTTTCGTATTCACACTCTCTCTTTTTTCTCACTCTTTCTTTCTTTCTTTCTCTCTCTCTCTCTCTCTTCCCACCATCGCACACACTGTTTCTTTTTCTCACTCCTGCACTCTCTCTTACACACTTTCATTATCTCTCGCTCTCTCCCGCACTCTCTCTCCCACTTTCACTTTCTTTCTTTCTTTCTTTCTTTTCTTTCTTTCTTTCTTTCTTTCTTTCTTTCTTTCTTTCTTTCTTTCTCACTTTTACACACTCTATTTCTTTTTATCATTCTCTCGCTTTCGCACTCCCGTATTCTCTCTTTCTCATTCTCTCTCTTTTTCTTACTTGTACACTCTCTATTTCTCTTTCTCACTCTCTTAGTTTCAATTTCTCTCTTTCGCTAACTCTCGCCCTCTCACTATCTCTCTCTTTCCCCCGTCCTCTCTCTCTCTCGCACTTTTCCTCTCTATCTGTTACTCCTCTCTCACTCTCAATATCTTCATGCCGTCGTCGATAGTTGAATTGACAAGGCTTAGAAGAGTGTCATCATCAAACAACTGCTTCCTATACTAACCTCGTACGAAAGTCCAATGACATTGTTTCGACTAAAATGATTGACATCGTCCTGCTAAGTCTGAAAGAAATAAAAGAAAACGTTTACAGAATCCCCCCATAACTATGTACTGTCGTATAACGCGCACCAATATTTTGGAAAGGGATGTTCACCAAAAAACAAAAAAAAAGCTGATGAGTCGTCATCGAATCCCAAGGGCATGCTTTCCCTATCACTAAAATCTTAACCTGTTTAAGGCTAGGGTTAACCACTATCTTCTTAACATATCTCTATAAACCCTTCTTCTTATTCTGTAACCTCTACCTGGAGTAGCTCTCAGGCTTTGTATAGGGTGAAAATTATTGTAAAAAAAGTAATTTATTTTGTTTAATTATTTATGCATTAATTTATTTATTTTAAATAATTAAAAGTCTTGAGTTAACCATTTTCTCTTATTTAAAAAAAAATATGTTCATACATGTTGACATAAGAAAGAAGCATTCCCTTTAAGAAAGGACATATTTGAAAAAATCCTGGCAACATTTTGGCAAGAAACTCATTTCAAGAACTTCTAAGTTATATTCTCGGTATATAAATAAATTTATACTTTAACATTATTTTATTATTTGTAACCAGAATTCCTTTATAATATATATTAATATACGTGAACTCATTTGGTTCAGTAACATTAACATGAGTAACATGTCGGGTGTGTGTTATCGAATGCAAAGGCTGGACTAAGATGGCGTGTGATTGATCAGAATATCTCGTGGGTGTGGAATTCTGAAAGAAGCATTGGCTTTGTCTAAGTTTTGTACATAAGACTAAAACGGCACCAAGTCGCAAGAATCTTGAAGCGTCGACGCTCTTTCTGTACTTAGATTCCTTGGAGAGACTAGACCGCACGTGGCGAAATACTAAGACAATGAATGAGCATGCGTTTCCCTGAAGATCTTCCCTCGTTACCTCATAAAATCGACGCTGCCACGTCTATCCCTGTCTTATAACAACATGGATAAAAAACAAACTGTCTTTTGTTGATACAATTAATGAAGTGGCGTTGGGGGTCTGCATGACTGAAGCCAGTGGCGAAACTGAACCCAACAGCAAAATCTATATTAAGATATTAACTTATTTTGGAATTGTCGGGTTTTATGACATAAACAGAATTTGCATATATAATAAATCCAAAATATATTAACCACAGAAACAGAATTAGTCACAGATTATCAAAATGCTTTGTCATTTCTAAAACAATAGCCTAGTAGATTAAATCGATAGTCAGTGAATTAGTTGGCACAATAATTTTAAGTTCAATCCCTGAACCAGGCAGTATAAACTCAGTGGAAACAACGAGAAATAGCCGAACAGTACCAAAAAGAACAAGACATGATATCAGTGCCATTCTGTCTATATCTACCTACCATTTTATTAAAATCTAGCTAGCTAGCTATCACACAGTGCTCGGACAGACCTACCGAGTTATATATTTCCATTTATTCATATTTTTCTTTCTTTCCTTTTCTTTTTACTCTCTCTATATATATATATATATATATATATATATATATATATATATATATATATATATATACTAGCAGCATGGCCCGGCGTTGCCCGTGCTTGATTCAAAAATCGTACGACAGCAATCGCTATCACTTGACTTAAAATATTTTTGCCCTTCCTTGCCTTTAAAGGAGTGCCTATTGCCGTGCTGATGTTGCTGCATGCCTTACTTCTTGCCTATCTCACACAGCGAATTTTTTCTAACCTCTATACTAAACATTAAATCTGTTACGAAAAAAGAACTAAATAAAATGAACACAAAAGGATCAGCTTTAAAAAAGGACTCGTAACTGGAAATACCGAATGAAAAAAGAATGTTAACAACAAATACTTTTTCACACCCAATCCAGTTCTGCGGAATCAGAATCAACGTTGAGTTTAAGCAAGCGAATGAGCCAATTGGAGTAAAGTGTCATGCAGATTTAAATTTTTCCTACTTGTGACGAATGCAGCTATCGATTTTTTTTTGCATGCTAGCATGCTAGTTAACATTTGTGTCAGTCATCTGTTGGCTCTCACGCTGGCCAATAGAATCTTCCTGTTTATTCGTGGCAGCCAGCAATTGGCTCTCACTCTGGCCAGTACAAAATGGCCACAAACTACATGAAAACTGCCGTAGAAGCATGAACAAATGGATTATTTCCACTATCGTCGGAGTTGGGAAATGCAAAGTCGATCTTGGCCTTCCGGCTAACTTGGAACATGTGCATGTAAATTTTGGTGCAAATCCGTCGAAAATTGCGGCCGTGCATTCGTTACACACACACACACACACACAGACACATCCTGCGTTATATATATATATATATATATATCACAGTCTGTTCAGTTAGGTCTACTGACCTATAGATTTCCGCCTGTTCATATCATTCTTTCTTTTATCTTACTTTCTTAGTCTGTCCATATCTATCTATCTATCTATCTAGCTAGCTAGCTAGCTAGCTTCTATCTCTGTTCATCTTTGTCACTGTTAGTTTATTCAATTTCCAATCTGTTTATATCTAATATTTCAGCTGAGATTACCGATGAAGAGATTATTTTGCCGATCGGTGACACTGAATAGATGAAGTATTGAGGGGGAAATTTCCAAGATGAAAGCTAAAAAAGGACGAACGCAACGTGAATCGAAAAATGATCCCAAACAATTTTCGCCAGTCGACACAAAATGGTGTCAATATCCTGTTTTACGCTGACATTGTTAGTATTTTAATTTCTCATACAATGATTCGTGCACTCATGACTTGGACCGATAAATTAGCCATTTTTTTATTATTTCACCTTATAGCAAGATTAAATCCTTTCTGTCTTTACAAGTGTTTATGTCACAAGTAAAAGCTCTTGGAGCATAGCATTTGAAATTAATCAGACGAGAAACCAAAAATGAAAAATTAAAACATAGTTAAGAAAAGAAAGAATTTCAAATGGAAGTCAAGTAGGGTTATGCAAAAATCAATTTAAAAAATCGCTCGCGTTCATGTAACATGAACTAAAAAAAAAGAAATGAATAAGATAATCTGTCAAGGTCGCCTACCGTATCTTCTGTATGGCGGTCATGGCTCTCGACATCTTCCTATCTTTTGTTGATGAAATTAACTTTGACTCCTCGCCACCCTTCTTTGTGATTGTTATCCAATCCATTTATATAAACATGCTCCTTAATATATCTCGTCTGCTTCTCTTGCCTTGTGAGAGTCACATTTTCCAGGCCCTCTTTCCTCATTATGTGTCCCAGAAATCTCATTTGTCTCCGATTATAACTATGTTTCCTTGTACAGGGTGCCCAGTAAAAGAAGCGGTAAATTCAGAAATAAGTTTATTTCATTATCATGATTTCTGCACAAACTGAACAATCATCGAAATGTTTGCCTGAATATTGAACACAATTTTTTTAAGCGTAGTAACCAGAAAAGAAGGCAGTAGCTTTGTGGACAATGTCAAGAGGAATTTCATTCCAAGCTTCAGTTAAGTTCCACTTCAATGAATTAATATCGACGATGTCATGACAACGACCCCCAATTACAATCATGTAAATATATAAATATGTTGCCGCACAACAAAAGGTGAGGCGCAAAATGTAAATTTATTTTTTTATATATATATATATATATATATATATATATATATATATATATATATAAAAAGAAAGAGGTTGTAGTTTTTTAGAAAAAAATATTATGCTTTATTTTCCATAATTTTACTACACGAGTTTCTGGTCTCGTGACCGTCTTCAGGTAAAAGCGGAGATTTCCACATATTACTAAAAATAATCAATTTTTTCCTTATGTTTTCAATGTTAAATATTCTCGATATGAGACATTTTCTGTTTTTGTGTTATATATATATATATATATATATATATATATATATATATATATAGATAGATAGATAGATAGATAGATAGATAGATAGATAGATAGATAGATAGATAAATCTCGACGAAAAAGCCGCAAACGTTTCTTTATTATAATATGGATTGTTTTAAATAATTTATTCTATATATTTTGTTACTTCAGTTTAGTGTCTAGTGACCATCATCAGGAGAAGAATGGTTATTTCTACATATTATTTAAAAGAAATAATTTTTCCCATCCTATGTTAAATCTTTTAACTATTGTCTTTTGTGCTTAGTAATAGTCGTCTGAATGCATCTTCGATTGGCTGAAAATACTTTTCTCCCGTTGGAACAAGCATAAACCCTTCCATTATATATATATATATACATAATAAACAAAATATATAGAATTGGATGAGTATTAAAGGTTTATCGTTGTTCCAACGAGACAAAAGTGTATATAGTCTTCCCTTATATTTATATATATATATATATATATATATATATAAACAAGAAGGACGCAGATCGGAGTTGAAATATATTTTCAAAATAAAATCTTACATTAAGTGATTAAGCAGGGATTTAGAGTATAATTTCCACATGGAGCTCTATGACCAACAATAGCAACATTCCTCGGCAGATTAAGTCCGTCTTCTTTTTTTATTCATAGTCTCGTTGATAAAGGGCACAGGCATGTCCGAAAATTCCGATCTTTCTTTGTGTACTTCCATCTAGTCAAAAAGCTAATATATAATAAATATCCTCAATTCTATTGCCAATATTGTTATCATTTTGTTGGCTATTTATTCCTCAAATTATATATATATATATATATATATATATATATATATATATATATATATATATATATATATATATATGATAAATTATACAATGATATTAAATAGGTAAACTCAACTCAAATCTTAAAGTCTACTGAAAATAAATCTTCGGGTCTTTTTTCTTTCCCTCCCTCCCCTACACTACCATTACATGTTCATAATTCTGAATTTTTCCTTCTTTTTTTTCTCTCTATTCTTTTCCCAAAATACAATATCGGTATATCTTGAATTTAACCTGGAAATAGATTTTTCCGTTTATATTTGGTTTTCAGGTCTGAAAGACTGAAGGCTATTTTTACAGCTTTCATGAAATAAAGATTATTACCTA